TATTTATTTATTTATTTATTTATTTATTTATTTATTTAAATTATATGCAGCCCTCTTGCTTTGGCACTGAGAAGGTCTGCTTACTGGTCATTGAAGACATCTTTACAATCTCAAGGCCAAATAGATCCTGCAGGAAAGTAGTGCTTTCTGCTGAAAAGTGTTGTAAATCCTCTATGTAAATGTTCTGTTTGTCATAGAAGAGGAGCCTGTGGGAGGTCAGTGACCTGCTGGGCTCCAGTTTGTCCACTGCAGAACTGCTCTCTCCTATCTACCATGGGTCTCAGTGCCTCGGCGCAACCATTTCTCCTTTAGCTGCTGGAAAGAGCAGTGTTTCCCCTGCAGCCAAAATTGTTGTCTCCTCCTCCTCCTCCTCTACTCAGAATACTGACTGTTCGGTATTCCTACAGGTAATATCTGGTGCCTCCATCCATGATGATCCCTGCCTTTCCCTCTGTGCTTGCTAGAAAATGCTGTTGCTGCCCTCTCCTCATATTCATAGGGGTGGCAACAGTGCTCTCCAGCAGTGAGGAAGGGTAGAGATCACCATAGAGAGATGCAAAAAGATGTCTGTGCTTGGGGGGAGAGAGAGCCAGTAGTGAAGAAGAGTTCCCTCATCTGTTCCTGGCTGCCCGCACAGCAGCAGAAACCATTGACCCAGTCCTTGTATGAGACCAGCAACTTTGCTACCCTTGTATTCCTTTTGAGTACAGGAAGAAGGCCCATCACCAGAAGACTGGGGAAGAGACTTAGTCACATGTGTGCCAGCATTTACAGTAGGAAAGTACTGGTCAGTTTAGGCCCATTTTGGCCAGGATGCCACAAGTGCAACAACAGCCCTATTTTACACAAAGCGTGCTCACTGTGTTCTATGCAAGCTCCACTTTCTAATCTAGATACAACCTTGCCTATGTCCCACCAAGTGAGATATATGTAGTGTCCTAACTCACATGTATAGTGGGACTGCATTTGAAAGGGGGTCTTAAGAGACACAATCTCTTCCGCTACACCCACCTCCACATTAGAGTGGTTTCTTTGGGGCTTCCACATTCAGCCACTCCACTGTCCCTTCTGTTCTGCTCCCTCAACTACATTTCCTCCATGTAATCCCAATGAATCAGGGATCACCAAAGTCCTCTTCAGATTATAAAAAGAGAAAATAATAAAATACAGGACAGCAGACATGCAGGTTCAGATACTTCCACGGCCTTCACATTCCATCAAACAAGCTTAAAGCTTTCCATGGGAATGCCATCCTGCACAATCAGGTCTCCCATATCTGTAGGAGATTGTGAGCATGTTCCACCAAATACACTTACAGCCTCCTTGTAGACTTTCATTATCCAGAAAGGGAGGTGAGAGCTGTTGTGGTTGGCAGCAGAGCT